GCCTGAAGCAATACTAGGTGCTCAGTAAATACCTGTGGAATGAATTAATATAAGACTCTTAGAGGGACTTCCCTGGTGGTCCAGTGGTTAGGTCTTGTCTTCCAATGCAAGGGGTGTGGGTTTTATTCCTGTTTAGGGAACTAAGATCCCACATACAGTGCAGCACCCCCCACCCCAGAAAAAAATCTCTTAGAGATGTCTTAGCCCAGTGGCAGCCAGGGCCATGTATGTAGTTAGCACTGGGGTGGGGTGGGAAGGCAGCCCTGTTGGACCCGACCCCTTGTAAGGAGGGCATTTAAGTCAGGGGCAGCCTGTTGTCTCAGGGGATTAGCTACACACAGGATTAGCTACATATGCTATGCTATGCTAAATCACTTCAGTCGTGTCCGACTCTGTGCGACCCCATCCCTGGGATTCTCTAGGCAAGAACACTGGAGTGGGTTGCCATTTCCTTCTCCAATGCATAAAAGTGAAAAGTGAAAGTGAAGTCGCTCAGTTGTGTCCGACTTTTCGAGACCCCGTGGACTGCAGCCTACCAGGCTCCTCCGTCCATGGGATTTTCCAGGCAAGAGTACTGGAGTGGGGTGCCATTGCCTTCTCCGGATTAGCTACATACATTAAACAAATTACAAGAATATACTGAAGACAACTGTGGGAAAGGGAGTAAAAGTCTGGAAAGGGGGAAAGCTAGGATGAACCCAGTACCACTGGACTGGAATGTAATGTCTGAATGACAACTGTCTTTCAATAGATGGAAGCTGTATTCGTTTGGGTTTTCAGAGAACCAAAACCAATAGGATAAATATAGAGAAAGAGATTTATTATGAGGAATTGACTCACGCCATTATGGAGGCTGAGAAGTCTCACAGTCTGCTGTCTGCAAGCTGGAGACTTGCAAAGCAGGGTGCTGGAGTTCCAGACTGAGAAAAAAGGCCTGAGAAGAGGGAGTGCCCTGCTGGTGCGAGTACCAGTCCAAGGGCAGGAGAAGACCAAGATCTCAGCTCAACGGGCTGGAAGAGAGAATTCAGCCTTTCCTCTGGCTTTTTGTTCTATTCAGGCCCTCAATGGATAGGATGATTCCTGTCCACCATGGGGAGGGCCACCCATTTTATTCAGGCCACCAAGTCAAATGCTAATCTCTTCTGGAAACACCCTCACAGACACACCTGGGAATAATGTTTAACCAGATAACTGGGCATCCAGTGACTCAGTCCTAAGTTGACATACAAAATTAACTGTCACATAGATGAAGGAATAGACAAAGGTATAAATGTGTATGTTTATGTGTGTATATAAAATGTGTGTCTACTGAGTGGGCCTCGCAGGAGACATTACCTTAACTGCCTTGAGCACAACTAATACCCACATCTTGGTTTCTAAATACTCTTTTTTTTTTTATGAGCAAATATTTTAATTAAACATTAAGAAGGGGTAAAAAAAAAAAACACACACACTTCACCACCAAAAAGAAATAGGTATTCTCGCCAAAAGCGATAATTCTAGGGCTGGGGACAGGGAAAAACAAGGTGAACCTGGAATATCTTCTTGAGCCAGAAAGTACGGAAGGTTCCAAAGAAGGATGCGAGACATTAAAATGAAGAGGTCAGTAAGGGCCACCCACTGACCAGTCCTGGGACAATCTGAGCATCAAAGTAAATGATAGGAATGTGTTATAACCTACTGAATAAAACAGAATATCATAAGTCCACCTGACATAAGTAAAATTAATAAATAGGGGTAAAGAAAAAGTTCTTTATATTAATAATAGAAGGCCAACTGATAAATGCAGAAGAAATGATAAAATTGGAAGATCACCATTTGAACTCAGACAAGACACATCAATGGATGCTGAAACCTATGGTCATAAAATACCTCATTTTCTCAGTACTTACTATGATCAAGTGATCAACATTACCAGCACCACCAGTCATGGTTCCAAATGCCACTGGATGTGATAACACAGCATCGGGAACTCCCTGGTGGTCCAGTGGTTAGGACTTGGCACTTTGGTGCTTTGACTGCCATGGCTTGGGTTCAATCCCAGTTCGGGGCACTAAGATCCCACAGGCTCCACCACGCAGAGAAACAAACAAACAAAAAACCCACAGCATCTTTTTGTGTGATATTTCTGCCCAAAATATGTAACAGTTGTTTAATCATGAGGGAGGAATGAGCAAACCCATATCGAAGGACAGGAGAGTCTACAAAATAACTTCCCTGTAATCTTCAAACATGCCAAGGTCAAAATTCAAAGAAAGGCTGCAAAGTTGTTCTAGATTGAGGGAGGCCAGAGAGATGTGACAACTGGGAGCAATGCTGTACATTACTTTTTTTCACCCTAAAAGGATTTTTTTTTTTTTTTTGGACATTACAGTTTGAAATTATTTCAAAGTAAAAAGTTACAATAAATGTCATGAATGTTAGCCCGGCATGAATGTTAACCCTTCTGGCTGATTCCTGCTGGCCTTCGGGACTCACTTTTAGACAAGCTCCTGTGGAACCCCCGTGGCTGGATGAGGGCCCTCTGTGCTCCCTGACACCCTTCTCTGATTATACCCAGAGGTCCGAGAGCAGGGGTCGTCTGGATCATGACAGAGTAGCCTCCTCTGGAAACATGCTGAATGGAAACCTCCACAAAAGGGGTGTTTAGGGGTACAGCTCAGTTCTACCTCTTCACTGGGGTTCAAAGAAACTGGATGTCTGGCTGTTGGAGCTGCATCTATCTGAGCAGGACCCATGGACCAGCAGGAGTCATGTCTGCAGGGAGCTTCCTGGAGGGGATCTTGGAAGGATATACTGTTTAGAGCAGGACTGAGGGTCTAATGGTCTAATGCCCAAGACGGAACTGTGCTACAGAGGTCTCTCAAAGGGGAAGCCCTTTTTATATCTCTGATGTCGCCTGGGCACTCATTGGTTGCATCCAGGGAGCTGTGGGATACCGAGATTCCGAGACCACCCCACCCCCATCCACGCTCCAGGATCAGAATGTGGGGACTATTGGGGGGATAATGAGCAATAATGTGGGAATACTGGAGGATATTGCTAGGGAGGATGGATGTTCAAAGTGTTAGGAGAATTTTTTTATTTGGCTGTGCAACTTGTGGGATTTTAGTTCTCTGACCAGAGATTGAACCTAAGCCCTTGGAGTGAGAGCATGAAGTCCTAACCACTAGACTGCATGGGAATCCCCAAATGGGAACTGTTTTTGGTACGATGTTAGGAGAAATTTGCCAGGAACGGTTAAACCGGTTTCCCTTGCTTTCTGCTAAGGTTATGGTTATATGGATGATGCCATTCAAGGTTCCAAGATGCCAGCTCTTCAGGACAGGGGGGTGGGGCACCAGTCTCAGCACTGGAGCCAACTGGGCTGTAACTCCTTTCTCATCTGGCTTCCCCAGGTGGCTCAGTGGTGAAGAATCTGCCTGTCAATGCAGGAGCTGCAGGAGACATGGGTTTGATCCCCGGGTCAGGAAGATCCCCTGGAGGAGGAAATGGCAACCCCCTCCATTATTCTTGCCTGGAGAATCCCACGAGCAGAGAAGCCTGTGAGCTGCAGCCCAGAGGGTCACAGAGTCTGCCGGGGCTTAGCCACTGAGCACCGGCTCTCACCCTCCTTTCCCATCTCCTGACGTGAGTGCAGCGCCCCCTGGAGGTGAAGGGCCCGAATGACTGGGCAAGGAAGGGGCTGAGAACTGGGTCTGGCCAGAGGGTTCCAGGAGGGGAGGCAAGGGCACGGCCAGCCGGCCGGGGGTGGGGCCTGACAGGGAGTGCCTGGACAGGAAGGAAGGGCAAAGGGCCATGTCCTCCGCCTGCCCCACCCCGCTGACAAGAGTCCCAGTCGCCAGGCCACCCTCTCAGTCTGGGGCCCTCGAGGGGTAAGTTGTCCTTCTGAATTCACTTGGTCCCTTTTCTGGGGATCGGGTAAGAATGCCTTTCCTCCCTGGGGGTCCAAACACCCCACCCCTCTGCTCCCCCTTGGGTGGGAAGGGGGCCACACCTGCACTGGCGGGCAGGGCAGTGTCTCAGACCCTTCCCCTCCTGATACCAGCACCAGGATCAAGGTCAGGGCGGAAGGGCCACGTGGGGCACCTCATCCAGGCAAGACCCAGAAACCCCTGCTCCCTCCTCTGTCACCCGACTGCAGAGCCCAGAATCTAAGCAGCTGAAGCACTGGGGGACACCCAGACAGAGCCCTCGCTGGACCAGGTCCTCCGGGAGCGAGATGATGCTATCGCCAAGTAAGAGGCAGCTGCTTGCGGGGGTTGGGAGGGCGGTGGATGGCTCCCCGCTGAGGCTCTGTCCTGCCAGAAGGGGAAGCAGGGGAGTCTGGCATTCCTGGGAGGAAAGCTGCATAGACACCCGTATGAATACTGTCTCAAGGCAGGGGGCTGTGGCCACACTGGTCCACCCCCAAGGCCCAGAACCACATCTGCAGGGCCTGAGCCTCAGGCTGCTCTCTGCCCCACTTAGGAAGCGGGCCGTGGAGGCTGAGCTGGAAACGTGCAGAGCCGAGCTGCGTGCTGTGGAGGCCCAGCTGCTGGAAGTTCTGGAGGAGAAGCTGAGACTGAGGCAGGAGGTGGAGGCGTGGGAGGTAGGGTGGGTGTGCCGGCCGGGCCCGGGGGGGCAGGACCAGACAAGCACAGGCCTGGCCCCTGACCCTGCTCTCCTGGCCCCCAGGAGGACATGCAATGGCTGGTGAGGCAGCAGGTCGAGAGTCAGCTGCAGAGAGAGTCCCAGAGTGCTCCGGGAGCTCCCACGGGCCCTGAAACTGCCAGGACCCCCTGGATCCGATTCCCCCTGAGTCAGTGGGGACGCTGGCGGTGAGAGAGCTCAGCCCAAGACCTTGGGAGGAGTGTCTTTATTCATTAAAGTTTGAGGTCTGACCCCTTCTGCATCCTTGCGCCCTTGGAGTGCCCACCTGAATGCTTCTGTACAGAAACAAGGAGCAGGACGCGGAGCCTTGACACCTGGGGTTTCATGTCCCCTCTGGCCAGCAACCCTTAGGCCAGGAAGCCTCGGACTGCAGCCATGAAGTCCTGCGGGTGGTCGTGGTGGACCCAGTGGCCAGCGTTCGAAATGGTCTGCATCTGGGCCCGAGGGAACAGCCGCCTAATCTCAGGGTAGTGGCTAGGACTGAACACCAGAGAGAAGGCGGCCGAGAAAGGGTGACAGGAGGAAGGTGGAGAGAGAAGGAGGGACACAGAGGCCAAGCGGGGGGAGAGAGAGAGCCACATAAGCCTATGTGCCCAGTGGTGTTTCCAGTTTTCAGGCACCCCTTAGCCATACCCCAGCCCTCCCCAAGGCAAGCTGAGGGGCTGGGTCAGTCGGGTATGCCCGTCCCTACCACCCAGCCTGGCTTACGGCAGGAATTGAGAGTTTCCACCCCGGAGGAAGAGGGTTGGCCCAGAGTAGGTTTCCTGTCGTGCGGGGAAGTCCAAGATCTTGTCCAAGTGCTTAGCCAAGGCATCCAAGTTCACCCTCCACACGAAGCGCCCATCCACTTCCACCAGGTTGGTGAGCAGGTACTGCCGCGTGCTCGTGCTCTGTGGGGGTCCCACAGTTGTGGGGTGGGGGGCTCTGTGTGAGGCCTGGGGCTGCCCCTCTTCGTCTGCCCACAACACCACGCAGGGGCTTGCGTGCATTACCTGGATAACAGAGCGGAGCCTCTCATCGGCCAGTTTTCGGGCGCTGGAAAGGGACGCCTCATTTGCCACGTCCACGGCCCTTATGGCTGTGATGTAGCTTGGAAAGTTCGAGCTGGACGGGGTCTCCATTGGGCTGATGTCCACGGCAATCAGGCGCTCCACCAGCTCTGGCTGCGGGAGAGAAGCAGACTGGGGACCTTAGGGTAGGTTCCTGGATCTGGAACTAGGCCATCCAAGGCTCACTGGAGTTCCAGACTGCCTGCTGGGTGCTCAGGGTCGACAGCGGATAGGAGGAAGCCCTGGAGAGAGAAGGCTTACCCTCTGAAGTGCCAGCAGCATGGCGGTCCTGCCTCCCATGCTGTGGCCAATGAGGACGCAGGGCACCAGGCCCAGCTGGGGCAGGAGGTCTTGCAGATCCTGGCTCATGGCCTCGTAGCTCATTTCTGGGCTGTGGGGGCTCTCACCATGGTTCCGAGCATCCACTGTCAGCACCTGGGGAAGCGGGAGAGGGGGGAGCAGCACTTGCATCCACAATCAGGGCAGAGCTGAAAGCCTGGCAGATCTGCAGGCTGAGGGAGGTGGAGAGCCCAGGATGGGGGAGATCCAGAAGGGGGAAAAGGGCCCGGATGGTGAGAAGACCCCCGTTCTCAGACCTTGGAGGCCCAGATGAAGAACCGGAGCCACTGGGCCAGAAGGCCCAAGGAGTGTGACCACGTCTCCAGACATTTGGCCTAGCTGGCTGGCAGCTACAGAGAAAGCAGACACCAAGAATTGACAACAGCTGGAGCACATCAGGGCGGGCGGCTGCAGGAGCTGCAAAGGCCCTGTCATCCCTGGTGAACAAGCCGGGTCTGGCCCCCTTAGCAGGCAGGATGTTGGTGCCTAGGTATCTGAGAGCAGAGCCTGAGTCAGGGTGGAGCACACAGATGGAGATCTACAATATGAGTGAAGGACTGGGTGGGTGAAAGCACCAGGGAATGAATGGGGTTCATCGTGGGCCTGGGTCTGCCCTGGGGCCTCCATCCTCAGAATGTCAATCTCTTCTTTGATTTCTGATCAGAGAGACCCGCCGCTCCCAAGCGTTGGGGACAGAGAAGCTGGCCACAACTTGGCCTCCTTTAGGGCCCCGCCCACCCAGGCCCCACCTCCCTCAGGGCCCTGCCGACTCCAGAAGCTCACCCTCCGGCCTGTCTGCTGAGCCAGGACCTTGGCGATAGAGTTGAAGTTGGTTTTGCTGCCGAAGAGCCCATGCAGAAAGACAAGGGGCGGGCTAGCTGCCTCGCCGTCCAGAAGCTTGTAGGAAAGCGGCACCGGTCTGGCGGGAGGAACGAGGGTGGGGGAAGGGTCTGAGCCGGCAGGGGAAGCGGTTGAGCGAGGGGCCTGGGAGAGGGAGGGCCCAAGCGCAGGAAGCGGAGCCAACCGGGACAAACGGGGGACGGCCTCCCAGCGGACGCCCTTGACTGACCTCGGCTCTGTGCCGCCTTGACTGCTGCCGCATGCGATAGGCAGTCTGGAGAAGCTGGAACTGGAGGGGCCGAGCCCCCTATAGGGGAGCGTCCAAGCGCGCGTCCAGCCACCCATCTTTACCTGGAGCGCATCTCGTGCTGTCCCATTGGCTCCGCCTCTCTCAGGGCCCCGCCCAATTCCGGCCAGAGCTCCGCCTTCTCACCCGCCCCCTAGCGCGGAGCGCCCCGCCTTCGCTCACGTCTCCTTACGTAATCCCGGAAACCTGTCTCTTTTCTAGGCTCCGCCCCTTGCGCCCGTACGTAAACCTGGCGGGAGCCACGCCCACAATAGCCCCCGCCCTTGGCCACGCCCCGGGCGGAGCCACTCAATACCCTGACCCCGCCCCGCTAAGCTCCCGCCCGGCTCCTCCCGAGCACAGATCCTATGCCGGGAATCCGAGCTTTCGTTTCGGAGTCTGGTCTCGGCTTCTTGCGATGTAGTCACGGGGTTTGGCCTTGAACACTGGCCCCTGCCTGGCCCCGGTGCGGCCTGCTCCTCTGCCCTCTAGCGCCGCCTTGGGTAGATGAGGTATTTCCTGTGCCGCGGGCGGCGGCAGGAGTGGCTCCCCTCGCCGAGACGCCAGCTTGGAGGCGCCGTGCTCCACTGCCGCGGGCCCAGGCAGGCCGGAAGGAGCAGAACACTTCTCACTGATCTTGAAGTCGACTCTAGAAGGATCTCGGAGAGACTCTAGAGGTCATCTCCAACCTGCCCGCCTCACCGCCCTTTATAGATGGGGAAACCGAGGCAAATAACTTTTACAAGCGGTAGAACCGGAATCTCTGGTCTTCGAGTCAAGGTGGGAGGCCAGTTATTTGTACTAGAGAGGGCATTTGCTTACTGCACTGAGCTGTACTGGGTTCAACTGTGCTCACCACACCCCCCATTTATCAGCAGAGAAATATTAAATATTAATAATCCTCCCACCCGCTCAGCACGTCGTGCAGGGATGTCACCCCCTTTTTGGAACCCTGACGGACTGCCCTGTTCCCTTCCTTGTCTGGACTAATGGTGGCAGTGGCGACTCAGGTCTCAGCTGGCTTCCACAGCAGTCGAGCCTTCAGCAGTTACAAGAGTAGCTGCTCTTTCTAAGGCATTCTTTTGATCAGAAACCATCAGGAGAGGGACTTCCCTGGTGGTCCAATGGCTAAGACTCCCTGCTCCCAATGCAGGGGCCTGGGTTTGACACCTGGTCAGGGAACTAGATCCCACATGCTGCAACAAAGATCCTGCATGGGCTTCCCTGGGGGCTCAGTGGTAGAGAATCTCTGCCTGCATTTCGAGAGATGCCAGTCTTATCACTGGTCTGGGAAGATCCCACATTTTATGGAGTAACTGGGCCCCTGCGCCATAACTATTGAGCCTGTGTCCTAGAGCCCAGGAGCTGCAACGAGAGAAGCCACAACAATGAGAAGCCCTTGCACTGCAACAGAGTGTAGCCCCCACTCGCTGCAACTAAAGAATAGCTTGTGCAGCAACGAAGACCCAGCACAGGCAAAAACAAGCAAATGAAATTATATATTAATTATATATAAAAGATCCCGCATGCCACAACTAAGATCAAAGACAACCAAATAAATAAAATAGCTTATCTGCTTAAAAACAAAGAAACATCAAGAGGAATTCCCTGGTGGTCCAGTTGTTAGGACTCTGCATTTTCACTGCTGAGGGTCTTGAGTCATTTTCTGTTGGGGAACTAAGATCTTATAAGGCATGTGGTGCGGACCAACCAGGCACCTGCAAAGACTACACTACACACCTCCCTTCAGGTCGTTACCCCTACTACTTCCCACTGGGATGCTGTGTTGTTTTTCAGTCGCTCAGTTGTGTCTGACTCTTTGCGACCCTGTGGACTGCAGCACACCAGGCTTCCCTATCCTTCACCGTCTCCCGGAACTTGCTCAAATTCATGTCCTTTGGGCCGGTGATGCCATCCAACCATCTCGTTCTCTGTCATCCCCTTCTTCTCCAGCTTTCTGTACTGTGCCACTGTCTAAATAGCCAGTTGGCCATCCTCCACATCTTTTAAGGTCCAGGATAACTGCCACCTCTTCCTCAAACCTCTCCAGATTTCCCCAGTTGAAGCTAATCTCTTCCACCCCATGTTCTCAAAGCATTTGTCAAGAGTCTGGCCTTCTACATCTCTACCATAGGCTGGGGGGTTCCTGGAAGCCCTGGGTCGTGTTTTGTTCATTTGGTGCAAAGAGCAATAGTAATTTTACTGAATGATCATGGAGAGAGTCAGGCACTAGCTGAGGCTTAGGTGTCAGTTCGGCTGGTAACTGGGTCAGCGCCCCTTCCAGGACATGGTACCTGGGCCATCCAGGGTTATTGTGGCTTCTCCCCTACCTCCTTAGGACAAGCCTGATGGAGTCAGTACAGTTACGGGCCTCCTAATTACACGGCCTCATCAGTGCCTTGCCTAATAAAGTGGCCCCCATCTGAGCCAGCTGGTGACAGGCAGGTGTTTTGTCTAATCTGGGGCTCGCTGTGAGGTCCCTGGGGACTCTAAACACACCAGGTGGTGTAATCATTTGTTGCTGGCATAGTCATTAGGGGAGTGAGGAGAACACCTGAGCCCTGGAGAGGGGGTTGACCTAAGATCTGGGAGGGGTCCTTGGAAGAGAATAGGCAGGATGTTTTTCTAGAATTGGTGGGTAAATGGGAAGGGGGTTGACGTCATGTTGGTGATTCAGAAGCGTAACATTTCAAAGGTGGTTTCAAGTGGGTCCCCACCCCACTCCAGCCTGCTGTCTAACTGGGTAACCTGAGCCTGGCCCGCAGCCCTTGACTTTCTGCCTCCTGCTGGAGCCCTGGGTCTAGGGGCAGAAGCAGTCTTGAGATGTTTCTGAGTCCTGGGCCCCAGCTCTGTCATGTGGCTGGTTAGGGCCTGGCTGGCTGGCAAGCAGAAAAACCAGTTGGCTTGAGGTTTTACTTGAACACTTCAGAAAAAGCTGTGGGGCCAGGAGAAGGGTTCTTGCTACCTCGGAAGGACTCTGCTGATGGGGTGTTGGGGAGGGGTCCACCTGAGGGCTGCCCACCCCTCCCTCCCAGCATGTCAGGAATGGGCCAGTGGACTCGCTGGTGGGTGGTAAGGGTCTCCCTCTTGAGGAAGTGGCAAGCCCCTGATACACTGAGGCTGATGTAAGGGAAGAAGCGGGGTACAGAACGAGGATGCTGTTTGTCTGCAATGGGTCTCCACTTCCGCATCTCTGTTCCCGGTGGTCCAACCTCCCTGGGAAGGGGGGTGGTGTTAGCATCCTCATTTTACTGCTGAGAGAATGGAGACGCGGCAGGTGAAGTGACCCAGCTGCAGTCACGCACCCCCCGTGCGGTCCAGCCCGAAGTCCTTCCTGGGCCATGTGACTCCCAGAGCAGTGCTCCGAGTATTTCGTCACCACCCATCTGGCTGGGGAGGGAGAGCCGAGGGGGTGGGGCTTGCAGCGCCCGGGACACTGAGGTGTTGAAGGGGTTAAGACAGGGAGGCGGCGGGTGTCCCTTAACCGCACCTGGCCCAGTATCGGTCACGTGGCCGGGGTTTCACCTGCCCCGCTGAGCAGGGACAATCAGGCTGCTTGTTTTGCGATTGATCACCATGGTGACAGAAGTGCGCCTGGGGAGGTCACCAGGGCAAATTCCTGCCCGCCCCCAACTGCCCGGTAGGGTAGGGGTGTCGGTCTGTCAGGCTGGGGTTGTTGAGGCTCCTGGAAGACCCCATAAGGTTTCCCTTGGGTCTGCCCCCACTCACCCTGCGACACCCGTCCAGCCTGTTCCCACAACTCCTCATCCTCAGCCCAGCTTCTCTCTTCCTAGATTTTGAGCCCCAGGGTATTAAACTGCCAAGACTTTGTCTTGTTTAATCCACACAGGAGCAGTAGTAATCCCCTGTGCCTCCGCCCCACCACACACACACTCAGGGAACACTTTGAGAACATTTGCTCCTGCGTGCCTTCATTCAACCATCAACAGATATTCCTGGAGCCTCACACCTTTATAGACACGGGCACCGTTCTAGAGACAGGGGAGGGTGTTTCCCCAGTGGCTCAGACGGTCAAAAAAGATCTGCCTGCAATGCAGGAGAACCGGGTTCGATCCTTGGGTTGGGAACATCCCCTGAAGAAGGGCATGGCAACCCACTCCAGTTTTCTGGCCTGGAGAACTCCATGGACAGAGGAGCCTGGTGGGTTAGAGTCCGTGGGGTCACAAAGAGCTGGATACGACTGAGCATCTAACACCTTTCTGAAGACAGCCAGTGAACTGAACAACAGACTAATGAACCACACCACAGTGGATGTGTGTTAGTGAGAGCTTCCCTGATGGCTCAGTGATAAAGAACCCGCCTGCAATGGAGGACACCCGGATTCGATTCCAGGGTCGGGAAGATCCCCTGGAGAAGGAAATGGCAACCCATTATTGCCATAAATGGCAACTCCAGTATTCTTGCCTGGGAAATCCCCAGGACAGAGGAGCCTGGCAGGCTTTAGTCTATGGGATTGCAGAGTCGGACAGGGCTGAGCAACTGACACATGCCTGGTTTGTTGAATATTTCTTTTCTTTGGAGCAGATGGCGGGGAGGCTCCTGGGGACCCATGTAGAGGACAGAGACTGCATGTGATCATCAGTCCTGCTGTCCAGAACACCTCTGGGGACACTTTCTGCCACCTCCAGACCTGACCTGTAATTCCTCCCCTCTAAGCTTCCTGCTGGCCCCCCAGCTCCTCTGTCTCCTGCTTTCACCCACTGGCTCCTTGCTCCAGAACCCTGGACGGGCCCTGCTAACTCTTGTCAACATTTTTCCTACCTCACGTGCACAGTCACTGTACTCCCAATAACAGCCTCATCACACACACAGATTCTTAAAGTAGGTGGAGTGAGGACGCCTCCTCTTTTGAGAGTGGAGGAGTCTGCGTGTTTTGAAACCCAGCAGCCTACACTCCCCTACACTCCGCTTGAGAAACAGCAGCCAGAAGAAAGCACTCGAGCCTCCTCTGCCTGCATTTTGGAGCTTTCATTACATTTTGGAGCCTTTTGTTCCAGGCACTGGAGATGCAGGAGAGAGCTCCGATCCACTCACACACCTGACAGTCTGGTGGGGAAGACATGAACGGATGTGTGATCACACGCCCAGTAAATATGCAAAGGAGAGGGAGCGCATCAAACTGAAGAATGTGACTGGCCCTGCAGAAGTAACGCTTGGATGCAGATAAGAAGAAGGAGTGGGACTCAGTCAGGACTGCTCAAAGGACTCAGTAACCTCAGTGAAGAAGTTACATCGGAGGAGGATATTCCAGAAGTGGGGACTCCATGTGCAATGGCAAAGTCATCCTGTTTCTCAAGATTGAATCAGGACTCATTCCTGATGCCTCCTTCCTTACCTTCTCTACCCCAAAGCAGTCCCTCACCTACGTCTGTTGATTTCTGTTGATTTTTATATCCCAGATATCGCTGAGATCCATTGGCTTCTGTCCATCTCCAGGGCCCCATCACCCCCTTCCATCATTGTCACCTTCTCACTGGACTTGTCCATTTCAGTCTCCATAGTTGTTTCCCTCCACAGTAGGAAGCTTGATCTTTCCAAACACATATTTCTATGCTAATCCAGTTTTCACCCCCACCCCCACCCCCTATTTTTCTGTGCTCTGGGTTCTGTGTTCAATGCTCCTGGGTATACACGTGGCAAACGTTGTTGTTCAGTTGCCCAGTGGTGTCTGACTCTTTGTGACCCCATGGACCGCAGCACACCAGACTTCACATCTCCCGGAATTTGCTCAACCTTATGTCCCTTGAGTCGGTGATGCCTTCCAGCCATCTCATCCTCTGTTGCCCCCTTCTCCTGCTTTCAATCTTCCCCAGCATCAGGGTCTCGAAAGAATAGAAAAGCTGGTCTCCGTGTTTCAAAAGCTGAAGTCCAGAGGGGAAGAAGATGCCTCAGTAGTGTTAAGTATCTTGGCCAAGAATGCCAAGGGGGGTCTGCCACTTACCTCTTGGCAGTGTTCCCAGAAAGAAGTGGCTCAGGAGTTTACTAGGCAGGCAAAACCACAGGCAGCTTGCAAAATCATTCTGAGCTCTGAACCCAAAGCAGACACGGTGCAAACCACAGGACCAAGAGGGCCAGGGGGACGAGATGGTGATGTTTCAGCAGGGATCACTGTTGCCTGAGGGCTGGAGACTGTCCAGCCTGGTGCCCCTCCCAGCCTCCTCCCTCATCTACCCGCTTCTCCACATGCGTGTGCGTGCTAAGTAGCTTCAGTCATGGCCAACTTTTTGTGATCCCATGAACCATAGCCCGCCAGGCTCCTCCATCCATGGGATTCTCCAGGCAAGAATACTGGAGTGGGTTGCCATGCCCTACGCCAGGGGATCTTCCCAACCCAGGGACTGAAATTGCATCTCTATGTCTGCTGCATTGGCAGGCAGGTTCTTTACCACTAGTGCCTCCTGGGAAGCCCCCCGCCCCCTGTGCACCATACCCCCAGCAAATCTGACCCTGCTGAATATCCTGGAATTGTAGCCCAGCCTCAGAAGGATTGAAGTTCAACCTCTTTCTAACTGCCTCAGCAGAATGGCGCATCAAGGAAATAACGTTATTGCATGGCTCAGTTTATGGACTGATTTTCATAATTGCCACAACGCCATATACACAGACTTCCTTTATGAATCAACAATCCAATAATTCATTCCACAAATATTTACCAAGAACCTGCAGTTACCAAATATGAGTTTTAGAGCCAGGGATGTGGCAATTACGTGGCCCTCTTCCTCAAGGAACACAAAAAGGCAACCCCCGCTGCCAACCTATCTGCTCTCAACTGGGGAAGACAGGCCATCAACAAAGAAACAAGCGAATAAATATGTAAGTACAAACTGGGTTAAGTTCAGTGGGCAGGGTGCTGCGTTCAGTAGTACCAGGGGTAGAGGATATTAAGTAGGGTGATGAGGAAAATTCTCAGGTAAGATGAAGTTTGGAGGATAAGAAGGAGGCAGTCATATAAACATCAGGGAAAAGAGTTTTAGGTGGTGGGAATAGTATGTGCAAAGGCCCTGAGGTGCACAAGACTGTATCTTGTTAGAAGAACAGAGAAGGCAGAGGAAGCTCAGGCAGAGAAAACAAGGGGAGAAAAGCATATAGGAGGTAGGCTAGGGTGGGTCCATGTAAAGGTCTGTTATTAAAGAGAAATGAGAGCCAGTAAGGGTTTAAGTAGGCGTCCCTGGTGGCTCAGTAGTAAAGAATCCACCTGCAATGTAAGAGATGTGGGTTCGATCCCTGGGTTGAGACAATTCCCTGGAGAAGGAAATGACAACCCACTCTGGTATTATTGACATGGACAGAGAAGTCTGGCAGTTTACAGGCCATGGGGGGGCACAAAAGAGCTGGACACAACTCAGCCACTAAACAACAAGGGTTTAAGCAGGGAGAGACATATTTTCCATTTTCTTTTATTTTACTTATTTTTTAAGACTGTGCCCTGCAGTATGCAGGATCTTAGTTCTCCAGCCAAGGATGGAACCTGTGCCCCCTGCATTAGGAGCACAGAGTCTTAACTACTGGGCTGCCAGAGACTTCCCCAGATGAAGAAGTAGATGGGGGAAAAAAAAGAGAATTAGATGCGTAGAGAGGAAGATGGTATGAAGGAAAAGGGAGAGATCAAGGACAACCCTGTTTCTGAGGGTAGTTGTGTCATTTATAGAGATGAAGAAGGCTGGAGAGGAATTTTTTCTTTTTTTCCCTGTAAAGCATACCAATAGTAAGGGAGAATCCAGAGTTCCACTTGAGGTATGTGAAGTTTCCAAAGCCTGTGAGATACCATGATAGTTAATATTTACTGAGTTTAACATGCCAAGCACTGTTCTAAGTGCTACATATTCATTGACTCATTTACCCCTCATAATGACAGTGAGAGGGTATGTGTATTATGCAACCCCTCCTTTAATAGCTGAGAGAATTGAGCCACAGAGGGGTTAATTAATCACCCATGGTCACACAGCTTGGAAACTGCAGGGCCAGGATCCAATCCCAAATGATTGGGCCCCAAGGGCCACACTGTTAACCTGTGCCCTCCACTGTCTTTGCGGCATCTCGGGACACAGGTGATGCAGGTAGTGGGGGGCTTGGAGGAGAGGTGTAGGGGCTGGAGGGTGTTAAAGGCATGGGAATGGGAGCGACACTCAAAGGGGATAAGGGTGCCCTGGAGGACGAAAAGAGGACCGAAGACAGAGGCTCTTGGGAAGACGACAGGAAGGGATAAGGAGGAGATGTGTAGAGGCAGGAGGAAGGCCAGGTGAGGCTGGTGTCACAAAGGCCAGGACAAGTGAGTTCAGAGGAGGAGAGAGAGCAATCAGCTGTGTCAAAAGTTGCTGAGACCATTTAGAGTACACTCTGGGCAGAAAAGTTAAGTGACCGTTGGCCATGGCAACCTGGAGGCCTCTGGGACCTTGCCAGGAGCAGCTTGGAGTGGAGAAAGAAAGGGTGGGGGCAGGAGCAGACAGGAGTGGCCGATTGGCAAGTGGGGAGGAAGCAAAAGCAGGGGTGAGATACCTCTTGACATGAACAGAGGAATGGGCGGCATCTCTTTGGAGACGTGAAGGCAAGGAGACTT